TGGCACAACTGGGTTTATTGCGGTTTATTAGGTCAAAGAGTCTACTTGAAAGAAAGATTATTCCTAGATATTGTAGCTAATCACAAGCAACTTCTCCAAGTTGCTCAAAAATCGACCGCAGGCATCGACAATTACTGCAAAAGGTCATTGATCTAGTTAAACAAATGTATAGTTCAGTAGCCTAATAGATGACAAGCTTTGCATAACAATCAGTATTAGGACATGATATATGATATTTCATTGTTGTTATACTGGTACATGCATGATTAGGTGAGAACGCTATAAAATGCCAAGCACAACTGCTGGTTGAACGCAAAATATCTGGACAACTTCAAATAGTTTGGAATGATGGCCCTAACCTCCCCTAAGTTATTGCTGTTCTCTTGTTCTGATTCATTTAAATCTTAAGCTTTGGCGCTGTGATTTCATTTCAATCCTTATGCCGAGATACTTTGTTGTTCTAGAATTCAGAGACTAGAAGGTTCAACTTAACTGTGCTTTGTTCAACTTGACAGTGTTTATGCTCTGGTATACTGCACTTCCGATATCTTAAGCACACAAACTGTTCTTCATTTTTCTAATTTTCTGTGATCTAATGTTAAGCATTTCTTATGCAACATGATGGCATTATCTATTTTCTTGCCTGCTGCACCTTTGATCCTGTTTAAACAGGATAACATGTCCTTTTGAAAATTTTGGATAAGGTGCAATTCTGGCTGCTAGACTGAGTAGAATTAGCTTTCGGCATTTCATGACTGCTACCACTAGTATTATAGCCAGTGGATGATTTCTTTTAATATAGTTTTTAGTAGTGGGCAGTACTATGCTACTACTTTGCCTAGGATCTACTCAGTCGCCCCAGGAAACAGTTCATATTCTTGGAATTTTCCAATCTCTAGTTTCACTTTCAACTTTATGGTAATAATTATTAAATAAATATTTCAACCACCGGCTCAGGTCTGGTTTAAGAATGCCAAAATGTTGCTAAATTTGGTCAAAAGAAAACTTGAATCTACTGGATCTCATGTCTCTTGCTTAAATTAGATACTTAGAATCTGAATTGTAAATGCTTATGAGTACCCTTGACACATCTGAGGCTGCAAATGAATCGAGCTCAATCGAGTAGCTGGCGATCTTGCTAGGTCAAAACTCGAGCTCGACTTGCATTGCCTGAGTTTGAGCAGTTCGCGTTGTTTGACGAGTCGAGTTCGAGCGTTGTTTGACGAGTCGAGTTCGAGCCTAATATGTGAAACTCGAAATTCTGTCGAATTTAATTGAGTTCAATCAAACTTCACAATTGCACATACGTACACACATATTAATTTTTTTTTATTTATTAGTATGAAATGTCTATTTCATTCCTTATTTAAAATTATATAAAGTATAAATTGATATTTCTTAAGCTCGATTGAACTCGAGTTAAGCTCGATTGGACTCGATTTGGATGAGCTTGAGCTCGAACTTGAATACGACAAAATAAAATCGATTTCGAACTTGAACTTGAGTTTGACTTTCAAGAGCTCGATGAGTTTGAACTCAAGGTCAAACCCAAGTTTTTGAGCTCGACTCGACTCAATTTACATAGTTACGTCATCAAAACAACACCATTTTTACCAACTTTTGGCGATTGGAGATCACTCAAACGTTAGCGAAGGATATGTTTGAAAGTGTTCTATGCACAGACTATATTGGTTTTTGGTTCGTACTATGGTTCACAAATAAGAGAATTATTACTATTTATTATGTGAGAAAAATTATTAATGGGATATGGAGTTTACATAAAATCGAAATTGAGTTGCCTTTGGTCGAGTTAGGCTCAACCTAAACTAGGCTCAACTCAAATTCAAATAATTTATACATTATATGTTCAAAATAAATGTATATTTTTAGAATATACTAATCTTAAAGCATTAATTTTTTTAATTATATATAATTTATAATTGATAAAATCAATAATAATACCTAGTAAATATATAAATACTTTTTACTTATATATTACATATAAAATTTAAAAACTTGAAATGTATATGGTTTCCAATGAACCCAACTAATTAAGCCCAAATGATAGGTTTAATTGCGAGATATAGACCGGACTAGGCTAAACCAGGTGACAATGAGTCGAGTAACATGACGTGTGATATGTAGGATAATGGATGGTGATTAAATGAAGATCAAATTGTGTGTTGATTGGTCAATTTTCTATTGTAGATGGCTTTTAAATAGTTAATGTTTCAAAGTTTTCTTTAATGTGTGCCATATTTGTAAAATATGAACAATTTTAACAACGGTCTGTGTCACGGGTGCTTTATGTGCATTCGTTAAAATATATTTCAAGTGTTATATTTTTAAAAATATAAGATTAATTATAAAAAAATAAATAAATACAAGGGAAGATAAGCAAAATTAAATAGAGAAAATATATAAATGCAAGAGAGAATAATAATTGTTAGTATGTATACATATATAGTAGGTTGGGTAAATATTATATGTGTTAACGAATACTCATTCGTTAAAAAAACCCTTTTAACAAATATTGATTTTTGTTTCGTTAAATTCTTCTACAAACAAATTTTTCAAGGTACTATTTTTTTTTGGGGGAGTAAGAGCCAATATGGATTATAATTTTTTAGATTTTTTTTGGAAAAGAATTACTTTAACACTTTCTTCAGACATGATATATTTTAGATATAATTACAAAAATGATTGAAAATTATATAGAAAACATAAAAAAAATCCAAAAAAATTACAATTCAACCAAGATAAAAGTCCCGCAACTAATTTCTTGAAATATTGATGAAAAAAAAAAAGTCGAACAATTGTAGCCATTAGAAGGAATGTATACCAATCTATGCCAGCCGTAGAAATGAATTTTTTTTTTTAATATTACAATAGGCCAGTGTCCGTATTTATTTTTATTTTGCTTTTCATTCGCACAACTAATCTTTGGTTTCGTTTTTTCTTTCGTAACGTTACAAAAGAGTAGTGTCAACAGCCAACACACAAATGCAATACGTGGCCGTTTCTTCTACACGTGTCAACAACAGAAAACGACACATTCCTTCCTTTTGCTCCTCAACTCCCGGCCCACAAGAAGAGTGGAAGCGGTGAAAATTTTCCAAAATTGGTTGGAGCCTGCAAGAGCAAGGGTATTATAGAAAAGGATAATTGTAGAAACCTCCCCTAAGGTTTCTAACAATTTCATTTGGCACTTCAAAATTTCAAAAATTTCACTTGTTATTTTATTTACTTTATGTTTTTGGTATAATTTACAACCCATTTTAAAATATAATATTCGAAAATTCATTTTGGAAGAATAAATGTAATATCATTCCAAAGTTGCCCTTTTATTGTCTCACTTTTTTATTGCCAAAACATGAGTATGTTAATAATAAAAGAAAAATAAAAACAAAAAGTATGAAGTTTTTTTTTTGATAAGACAAAATATAGTATATTTTTTTAATACCCAAAATTAATATTTGAAAGTTTATTTGAAAATTTTGCAAGTTATAAAGATAATATTTCTTTATTGTAAAAAAATTTAAGTTAATTTAAGAAGTTTTATAAATCATCTACGTATTTTTGAATTTTAATTTTTTTTGTCCAAATCAATGGCTTGAAAACTTAAAAAAAAAACTCATGCTAAAAATTATATACAAATTTGTTTGTATTATTTTTTAAGCTGGTGCAAAAAGATGTCATCGTGGTTATAAATTATTGCAAGTTATTTTTAAGAGTATTGTAAATCATTGAAAATTTCAACTAATTTAACATTTCTTGTTCAAACCAATGGCACAAAAACTATTAAGGAGTATTTCAATCTTGTTATCAACTTTTATATTTTCATTAAAGAACTATATCGATCAATTCACAAAAATTAAGAGACAAAATTAGTGTTATGGTAATTAAGAAATCATAAGAAAAGGGCAAATCTAAAATAAAAGTATGTTCTCTCTCTTAAAATGAGTTTTTTAATATCATATTTTGAAATGGATATTAAATGTTATAAAAAGTTTAAATTAAGTAGAGGTGTCAAAATGGGTGACTTGGGCGGGTTTGGGTTGGATAAAATGGGTAATGGGTATAAGTGAGTCAACTCATTTATACCCATTTAATTAGATGGGTATAAATGGGTAGTCAAAAAATGAATTGGGTAACCCAATTACCCATTTATAACTCATTTATTTTAACTTTTTGCAAACTCATTTAAATTCATTTTTGCAAACTAAGTTATCAATTTATACCACTCTTTGTATCCATCATTAGTTTTAAATATTTACTTATAATGTTCAATAAACTTAATTACCAATTTTTTTCATTTATACTCTATGTCACAAAATTACCTATTATTTAATAATTGAATAATACGAATATAAAAATTTGAATTAAGTACTATAAAAATTAATATAAAAACTTAATCCAAAAGTTTTGAACCCCTAACATTTTTTTTCATATATAAATTTAAAATTTCATTTTATAAAGATAAGAAAATAGGCTAAAATTTATCATAAATTGGTAATGCTAAAAAATGAGCAACTTAACAAACTAAGAAAAAATAAAATAATAAGATAAAACCAACAAATAATAATAATAATAATAATAATGTTAACATCATGACAAAATGAAAAATTTGAAAAAAAAAAGGTAGGGGAAAAGAAGAGACTTGGGGGGAAGAGAATTTTAAATGGGTTAATTGGGTTTGATGGGTTACCCAATAATACCCATTTAATAAATGGGTATTATTGGGTAACCCATTTATACCCATATACAAAAATTTAAGATACCCATACCCATCTATTCATGGGCGGGTATGGATAAATCTAGTTAAGTGGGTTGATTTGCCACCTCTAAAATTAAGGGAGTCAATTGAGATTTTCTAAAGTCTGAGAGGGGCCAAGTTCAAAGCAGCAATTCTTTTTCGTAGGGGGAATAAAAATGGGACATGGGATTTGATACACCCCAGCGGTACACACTCGCCACAGTGCATTTCCCGCCGGGACAGTATGGATCCCCACCGCCGCGGTCGCGGCGGCACATCCCGAGGCTCCTCAGCCGCAGAGTTCGCCATTAAACACTATGCCAATCCAAGAAGAATATCTCTCCTTTCCTCCCCTACCACCTCCTCAGCCTCAGCAGAGCCACTACTCCTCGTCGAGAAAGATGATGAAAATCAAATCCCCAAAGCCCCGCGCCTTCATTCCTCATCATGGTCAGCTGATTTCGTAACCCACAATGAAGATCTCTTGGCCCAGATTTTGCTTTTCTTGCCTCCGAAGTCCCTCCTCCGCTTCCAATCCGTCTCCAAGCAATGGTTATCCATCATTTCCAGCCCTGGTTTCCGCCGCATGCACAGCCGGAAATACCGCTCTGCCGGCTCGTCTTTCTTTGTTCTTGACAGCTGTGTCGATGACCCCCCGCTCAATTTCATCTCTCTCCGGCAAGAAGATGTGAAATTAATGGGTACCATTACTTCTGGCTTAAATGATTTTCTTGATGGTGGTTTAGTCCTAAACATGCATTCTTGCAACGGTTTGTTATGCATTGATGTTTCCTTCGAATTGACCTTTTTTAACGAAGACAGACGATTGTTAGTGTACAATCCTACCACTGATGAGTACAGGACTATTCCTAGGGAGAAATCAGCACAAGATCAATCTGAAGGTGTTAATATTGTTTTCGACCCTTCCAAATCTCATCATTACATACTCGTAAGCGCGTTGGTGGTCAATGAAGATGAAGATGAATTCAGATTCACGGTATATTCATCTGAAACTGGGCTTTGGAGCGAGACAGCGGCGAAATTTGAGCATGATGGTGACCGGTATTACTTCGAAAAAGGGGCGTATTGGAATGGTGATCTTCATTGGGTTAGTGTATCATCAGGTACTCTATGCTTTGATTTGGACAATAAGCGTCTGAGGCCGGTGATTCCTCATCCCTCAACTCCCTCTGTTGAGTGGCGTGATATCTGTTACTTTGGGGAGTCAGGGGGCGACTTGTATTTAATCGGTCTGGACAAACCTCAAGCAATGCTATGGAAAGTTTATTCCTTGAAAAGGGACTATTCTGGCTGGGTTGTCAAGTATTCCATAGATGTTGCTTCTTTGGTTACTTTTTATCCTTCAATGGTGGTTGAAGAAGAGTCGAATGAGAAGCATTTTGATTTACATATGCCTTGTTTTGTTGTGGATGAGAAAGAAAAGAAAGCAATGCCTGTCATATTACTCAGGTGTAAAGTCATTTCTTATGATATCAGTGATATGACTGTCGAGGAGCTTGCTGAAATAGATTCCAGCCATCTGGAGCATGCTTTCTCCTTCAGAGCTCCAAAGTACTGTTTAGTGGATGCTGTCCAGCACACTGAGACATTGGCTTGTATATAGTGGTCTATCTCATTTTGGTGAACATGGCCATCTGAGGACATTGTACTTACAAATTAGACTAGTCTAAGAACAATATGGTAGTGTAATTAGCAATAGGAGGGAGACATTGCAAAGCTTCTTAGTTGCTGTATATTTTGCTGTTTCATTCTGATGCTTGTCGACTGGTGTTTCTTTAATATGACAGTTTCTTATGCGACTTGGGAGCATTCTCTATTTTTTCCCTTGCTGAGGTTTTGCTTGTAGACTGAAAGAGGCTAATATGCCCTTCTGAAATGAGATAAAATGCAATTCTGACTGTCAGAGTAGTAGAAATAGCTTCCGCCCTTGATGACTGGTACTAGTAGAATAGCTGCTGGATGATGACTTGTAATCTAGATGGTTTTTAATGGCAGATAGTTCTACATGACTGCTGCTTTGCATAGGGATTTACTGCTTTTCGAGTCCTATGGACGCAGGCACTCCAGTGCAAAATGAAGGGTTCTACATGAATACTCCACACGGCAAAGTGAAGAGTTCGAGTGACACAGCACTTTATTGCCTGGCAAAGTGAAGAATCCGAGTAATGCAGTAATCTGCCACCCAAGAAAACAGTCTTGTGTTGTTGGATTTTTCAAGCTCTAGCATCTCTAATTTCAAGTTTAACCTTCAATTTCAGCTCTATGGTTGCTCCAAGTAGTTTGATGGTCTCCGGTTGCCAGAAAAAGATGTTAAGAGTAGTGTTGTTTTGATGATTATATGAAAGCAGTTCCACTTGATAATTTATCATAGATGTCTACTCTAAATAACACTTTAGAACTCAGATTCTAAGAATCAGATTCAAGTTTTCTGTTAACGCAATTTAGCAATGTTATCATCTGGGCATACTTTATAACGCATGATCTGAACCAGTGGTCGAGATATCCACATAGAAAACATAGCTCGAAATGGATAAAGCAATACCATCTTTACAATAATAAAGCCTGTGTTTTTACCTTCGTTCAATTCTCACGTTCTCCCTTACCAACGATTTTTTTTACTTCCATTTGTCCATATTTCTGTATAACACACTTTCTACTACATATTACGTAAAATAGTTATATTCACTTGCACTATTTTTGTGATTCTTTCAATTAAAAATATTTTTTGACAAGTTGCACACGCATCGAGTGTGCGTCGATAAACTGTCTGTACTGAACATTTGCATACGAGCGTTCTATTTAGTCAAATTTCCAAACAAAAGTTCTCATTACAGTGTGGAGTTTGTATAAATTTTTGTCAAAATATGTAATCCTATTACATTGTGAGGACTAAATTCAAGCTAAAGAGAGTGTGCTTGTATAAGTGTATAAGAGTGCCTTTTTAACATACAAAGAATGATAAAAACCATGAAGATAATTTCTTGCAAACCTAGGGGTCTGCTTATATATAACAAGGCTATGAAGCCATGATGCTAAAGGTAAAGAAATCATTGTTGTATGGACTGAGGAGGCGATAATTGTGAAAGTCATTAAACTTGAAATTATTCAGAAAACTCTTTCCTATAAGATACATTACACATGAGGTCTTATATCAAACTTTTGTTTCTTTTTTTTTTTTTTTTCCAATAGCAGTAGATATACTAAAAGTTCGTGTCTTACAATATTCCCATGCATGTTGCCCTTATGGTATGCCACTAATTTCACCAAAAAAAAAAAAAGAAGTAAAACTCTTAATACCCTTAAGAGATTAGGCATGTTCCAAACTTTTTTCTTTTTATTTTGTTCCAAACTTGTAAAAATTCATTCAGGTTTATCTTTTGATTCTAAACAAATTAATTTGGAGATTATTTGGAAAATTTTTTAAAATAATATTGTAAGTTGTAACATTTTGTGTGATATATGTGATGCACATTTAAAAAAATATATTTCAAAATGATTGAAAAATGTGATTAAGATACAATAGAAAAATTTTGTTGGCAAAAGGAAAAATCACTATCCAATTATGAACAAAGCTATTACTTTTTATTTTTCTATTCTCAATTGTTTTTTAACCCTACTCTCAGCTTTTTACGAGCCACACAAACAAAAATTCCCTAGTGGCAAAATGTTAGAGATGGGGGATTAATGGGGCAAGGGGAATCACAAGTTCCATTTCAGGCCAGTCGAGGGTAAGATAGACTTTTTAAAATTTTTTACATCATAATCCACTTGTTTATACCCTATCAAAACTTATTTATACTAGACCTCCACTCGTCTAAAATGGAACTTGTGATGCCTCTAATCCAATTTTTCTCTCCTTTATATTACTCTCTCTGTCCCACTTTGATAATCCTGTATTCTTTTTTCATCTGTCCCAAGAATGTAGTTGTATTTTAATTTTCCTAAAATACCCTTATTTAATGTAAGTAGTTGTTACTATAAACCTACCATATTTAATGAAAGTTGATTCTTTTTTTACCATCAATTCAAGTTCCATAAAGTTGTACCATATTTAATGTGAGGGTATTTTAGAAAAATAGCAATCTAAATTTACTTTTCCAACAAAATTAACTAATTTTTCTTAAACTGTGTGAAAAAAGAAACAGGACTATCAAAGTGGGACGGGGAGAGTATTTTTTTTTTGGAAAATGTTCCCCCCCCTCCACCCCCCAAAATTTAAATGGTGCGGGGACGAGTATCCCCAAACTCCAATTCCGTAATATAACATCTATTTGTACATAGATGATAATATGAAATAAATATTATGGTATGGTACTATTATATATAAATATATAGTATGAAACCTAAACTGGAGTAATTTTTTTTACTATCAATTTATTGTAGTAGTGTGATTATTTTGTTATGTTGCTTTACTTAATTTTTTTTTTCCACGTATTGCATGTTTCTATAAAGAAATAATAGCAATTAGTTTAGATTTTTTGTGGTATAATTTGAAAGGAGGGACTGCCCAATTTGGACTCATCAGTAAGGATAAAAGAGTACTTCCCGCCCGGACGGTATGCATCCCCTCAATGGAAGATCTCTTAACCGAATCCAAAATCCCGGTCCGCTAACAACCTTCTGACTGGGATCCACTTGCAGCCCACAAATTGCTTGGATAACTGATTCTGGTTATAGCTCACAACTCTCTTTTTACACAAAGGGATAATATCGGAAACCTCCCTTGAGGTTTCTCCTAATATTACTTAACACCCCTGGGGTTTTTGAAATAATTACTTACCTATCCTAATAAATGTAAAAGAACTATATTAACCCTAATTTGATACATAATTCACATATCAAATAAATAGATGTCAAAAATTTTAAAATAAAAAATGTATTAAATTTAATATTTAACAATTCAATAATTTAATGGATTCAAATTTTAAATTTCAGATTTCTGACTTCAGTTTTATTAAACGTATCCTTAGCGATGATATGCTTGAAAGTGTTCTATTTAGTCATATTTCCAACAAAAGTTCATAATGTAGTGTGGAATTTGTACAATTTTTGGTTATAATATATAATTCTATTTACCCTGTTAGGACTAAATTCATGTTCTATGTACCTCTTTTAATGCCATTAATTTTTTTTTTCAAAAAGCAGCAAAATAGGCGTTTTTAGTTTTTACCTTGTCATTCTAAATCTCAAAAAATCATATAATCATTTGAGAATAATACCCAAAATGCACTTCATTTTAAACCCTTAGAATAAATAGGGAGTCATAAAACAAAATGTTATCCCATTTGTTTCTGTAGAAATTTTAGAAACAAAACCGCACAAATGCAAATATTGGAGATCAAAACTACATTTTTTCTTTGTGTTCTTATGTTTTTCAAGAAGTAGCAAATTAAATAGGTGTTTTTAGTTTTTTTTATTTATCTTGTCATTTTAAATATGAAAATATCATGAGTAATCATTTATGAATAAATACCAAAAAGTGTATTTCATTCTACATCATAAAAATAAAGGGCAAAATACACTTTACTTACTCATAGTTTAGCAATTTTTCAAGCAACTCTTCTATAGTTTCAAAAGTTATATATAATCTCCCTTATAGTTTATATTAAAGTGTTAAAGTGATGAAAATAATTATTTGTAATTGAATTCATAAAAATATCAAAATTATCCTTGTTTAAAAACTAAAATGGCAGATGTGATCAAAATATATAACCATAATGTGCATGACATTCTCACTCCCTATGATTTTATATTTTACCATATATCCCTCTTATGATTTAGTGTTTTACCATATAATCCTTTGATGATTTTCAATATATATATATATATATATATATATATATATATATATATATATATATATAACTCTTTGTGATTAATAAATAATTTTTAATTTTATATAGGAGTACTTTTGACATTTTAGTTGATTCATTATGGAATGCAAATTTTATCATTTTGACACTTCAATCCAAATCAGGGAAAGGGAGGAGGGGATTATGTATAATTTGGGGTTATGTAAAAAATACTAAACTATAGGGGGGTAAAGTGTATTTTGCCCTAAAATAAACAGAGAGTAAACTGAAACCAAATCGTCCTTGTATTTCCTCAGTCAAAGGGTCTATTCTACTCACCGTCGCCGGGAAAGTATGGTTCGCTTCCAGGGCGGCTGCTCCGGCGGATCCCGATGCTCTTCAGAACGACGATACGCCATTAAAAACATAAAGAATCCAAGAACAATCTCTCTCCGCTCCTCCTCCTCCACCTCCTCTGCCTCCGCAAAACCCGTTCTCCTCCCAGCGAAAGGAGATAAAAGTCCGGCCGTCAAAATCCCACGGCTTCATTCGTCCGCATCTTCTCCTTCGGCCACTTCCATAGCTCACAATGAAGACCTCATTATTCATATTTTACTTTTCTTGCCTCCGAAGGCTCTCCTCCAGTTCCAATCCGTCTCCAAGCAGTGGCAATCAGTCATTTCCAAGCCTGCTTTTCGCCGCCTCCACTGCCGGAAATATCCCTCCTCGTCCTGCTCTTCCTTCTTTCTTCTTCATTTTTTTCTATCAAAGTTCCCCCGCTTAATTTCATCTCTCTCCGCCAAGAAGACTTGAAGTCAATGGGTACCTTCACTTCTCGCTTAAATGATTTACTTGATTGTAAGCAGGTCCTGTTCTTGCATTCTTGCAATGGTTTATTATGCATTTCTGTTACCTCCGTTTTTGATGATAGCTCCCATTATGATGGCGGTAGAAAATTGGTAGTGTTTAATCCTACCACTAATCAGCGTAGGATTATTCCTAGGGAGAAGAAATTGGCAGTCGAAAAACATCGTGCTATCAATATTATTTTTGACCCTTCCAAATCTGATCATTACATGATCGTATGTGTCTTGGTCTATGATAAAAAAGAATTCAGGTTCAAGGTATATTCATCTGAAACTGGGGTTTGGAGTGAGACAGGGGTGACATTTCGGAAACGTGGTGTCCGGTACTATTTCGAAAGAGGGGTGCTTTGGAATGGTGGTCTTCATTGGGTTAGTAAGTCATCAGGTACTCTATGCTTTGATTTGGACAATCTGTGTCTAAGGCCGGTGATTCCTCATCCCCAAAATCCCTCCTCTGAGTGGTGTCATATCTGTTTCTTTGGAGAGTCAGGGAGGCATTTGTATTTCATTGGTCTGGACAAATCTGATGCCACGCTAATCAAAGTTTTTTCGTTGAAGAGGGACTATTCTGAGTGGGTTGTGAAGCATTGTATCGATATTGCTCCTTTGATTACACTGTATCCATCTATGGTGGTTGATGACTATGAACCTATATACAGGGAGCGGTTTCATCTGGATATGCCTTGTTTTGTTGTGGATGAGAAAGAAAAGGAAACAATGCCTGTGATATCAATCGAGGGTAACTCATTGCTTATGAGATCAATAATATGAGTGTGAAGGAGTTTGCAAAAGTAGATTTCGGTGATCTATCGAAGGGTCGTGCTCTAAATTACGATTGGCAGGCAGCTTACCAGCACCCTGAGACATTAGCTTGCGTTTAATGGCCCATTTCATTTTGCTATATACAGCGATACAATGACCACCCTCTATGAAAGTTATGTAGCAGAACCAGAAAGATGTGACATTGAAAAAATTGTAAGCAGCTTACTTGCTTTGTATTCACTGTTCCAATCTGATGCTCCTTGACTGGAATTTTTTGAATAGACGTTTTGAGCTTTTTCCAAATTAGTTCCCGATGGATTCTTGTTACTTTTGTCTTTGCTAACAGGCTTCTTTGAAACTTTGTTATTAGCAATATTGGCTAAGATGCTGCAATTTTTTCCGTTTTGTGTGCATTTCAAGAATTTCAGGGGGTGTCTTTTTTGATTCAGGCGAAAAGCATTGCATTCTAGTTGCGCTTTGTGATGCCTAATTAAGTCCTAATTTGTGGTAGATGTAAAACCACTGTTCATGTTGAGCTTTCTGCTGCACTCATTGGTTGATACTTAACTATCTTATAAATGTTTAAATCATTGATATACTATCTGGGCAATTTGAGCCTAAAAAGCAATTGGTTGCTAGGCTCATGATTGCTACTAGTATAATAGCCAGCTGATGATTCGATTTCGATGCATAAAAGATGGTTTAAAATGGCAGGTAGTACTACTACTTCACCTTGGAATTTACTTCACTGCCCAATACTCTGTTTACATTGTTGGATAATCCATACTCTAACATCTTTGCTTTCAACTCAACTTTATGGTAGTTGTCATTTGGCAAGCGTTTTATAACCTTCAATATCAACTTTATAATAGTTTTGAAGTGTGAAGATTTAGTATAGAAAAGTGATCATGGTGTTATTTTGCACAATGTAATTACCAGTCATTACGCTATGTTAGCAGAACTGTGTAGAAAGCTGTGCCATATGGATGCCAGGTTTAATAGCTTAACTCCAGATGTTAAAGCTAAGATTTGATACTTATTTCTTATAGTTCTGAGTTCTGCAAATTTTCTTGGATATTTGCTTCAATCTTTATTAGCATTGAATATAAAGAAATACCTTCCTTTTAAAGTAAATGGGGAAGGCTATTATGAATCTGCCTGTCGTGTTAGGTTACATAGTGATGCAATTTTTTTTTGTTCTTTTCTATTGTGAGTTTCATTGTGCAAATGCAAGAATTGCACTGGGTTGCCCGATAGTTTTAGGCAACTTAGTTGATGATTTTTGACTGCCAATTAATTTAGTTTTTCAAATAAAAAATATTCCAGTCTTCATGTTCTAGGATTTGAACAGCTAAATATGATGTACTGACAAGACTGTATAGGCTTCTGATGATGTCCCTAACTTCCTCTAACTAAATCCAGTTAGCATTTTTGATTCATTTCAATCTTAAGCTTTGGCAATATGATGATTTAGTGCCAATTTTGGTTTCCCCTTCTACTGAGATATTTTGTTGTAGCACTGAATTCTGAGATGAATCACTACAACTTGATTGTCCTTTCTTCCCTCAATAGAGTACTTCTGCTTCACTAGACTACACTTTTCAGTACCATTAAACACTAAAAAATTTCACTATTTTGCTAGTTTTTTCCCTGCTTTGTTGTATGTTGCTTACTTGCTCTTAGTCATCATTCCTGTGTGTGACATAATTGTGTTATTTGTTTTTTAACCCTGCTGCAGTTTTGCTCATATGTTTGAAGAGGAAACATTTCCTCCTCAAAATTTGAAACAAAACGCTGTCGCTAGAATTAGCTTTCCCCTTTCATTTACTGATACCAGTATTTTACCCAATAAATGGTTCCTTAGCATGATTTGGTGTGGGAGATGTTAATTTGCTGTACTACTTTAGCTTTAGGTTATGTTAGGTTAATCATGTAGACATGGAAGCTACACTTCAATGCTTATTCAAGAAAACTGCTGCTTCAAGCTATATTAGCAATGCATCCAAACTGCTGCTTCAAGCTATATGAAACTTTCTGTACTTTTAGTAGGTGACTTGGATTTACAGGATTTCTTTTTGTCTCCTATATTGTGGGTTTGTTTATGCTCAAATATAAGGATTGCAGTGGTTTGCCCCTAAGTAAAAATATAAAATTTTTTGATATGCGATGAAAGTTTTGTTCCACAATTAATTGAAAATAATTCATTCCCCACCATTTCATTTGCATTGCAATCACTACTCTAATTATAGTATTACTTTTGGTTAAACTTGGAATTAACGAACTAGCAAAAAGCATACCAATCTAAAATTAGTGAAAGCAAAATTATTTAGTAGCTAAACTCGGTTGATTGTACCTCTTATTATGCATAGCGAATTATTTTAGCAAATTGAACAAAATGGACATTTTTCTTTTTTGGTAAGAAGAAATGTTTGAGTGAGTTCAACTTCATTCACCAACTATTACGGGTTAGGACATGTTAGTATTTTCATGTAACGTTCGTTAACGCATCAACACTTATATCGCATAGCAGAACTTGAACAAACAACTTTTTTATAAGGAACTAATGTATCAACTTTTTTTTTGAGGAAGTGACTCATTTCACATCGTATATCAAAACTTGAGCACAACTCTTTTTTATCAACTAAACCAATTTACGTTGACTGAACTCGTAGCATCTGTAATTTAAGGTAAGGGGGACTCCAAAATTTTTTTTTTTCCCAATCTGATTGTCCAAAATTAAACGTGCCAGAAAGAAAAAGGTTAAAAAAAAAGTAAAAGATACATATATACATGTATATATATATGTATGTATGTATGTATGTATGTATGTATGTATGTATGTATGTATGTATGATGACTTGAAAGATAAAGGATGATCCTAGTCTTAACGGTCAAATTACCGTTTCGTAATTCGAGAGGAGTAATGACAATCGTGCGCGCCATAAAACATCGGCTATCCTTTCCAGTTTCCACTTGCCAGCCCTCAATGTCACCGTCAACATTCCCAGTCGGAAATGGATCCCGGTGGCCGCCCCTCCAATCGAAGATCTTCAGTTGCAACGCCAAAATCTCCTCTGATTAGGCACGTATTAGAACAACGCCAGGTGAGTGTTTTTCCGCACTGGCAACTCCTCTGCTCTAGCAACTTCAGCCAGGAAAGAAATCAATTCCTCGTTAAATCCCCACGTCCTGATTCTTAATTTTCCTCAATCATCATCGCCCATATCGAATATCTTCTAACCCAGATTTTACTTTTCTTGCCCCCAAAATCCCCTGTTCGCTTCCGATGAGTTTCCAAGCAATGGCTTTTGATCATTTCCAACCCCACAATTTGCGGCCTTCATGCTCGGCGATATTCCCTGGAGGACACTGCATCTGCCCTCTTTCTGATTTGCAATAGATGAAACCCCCGAGCTGAATTTCATTTCTCTCAAGAATGATTATGTGAATTCAATGAGTAGCATCGTTTTCCGCTTAGGTGATTTGTTTGATAATCATAATGGTGAAGTCAGGTTTGACTTGAAGAATGATTATAGAAGAAACTCCTTTGTGTTTAACCCCAACCACTAATCAGCTAATCAGCATCAGCTGATTCCGTGGCTCATGCTTGCAGAAAGAAATGTTATGCAAGTTATGAACATTGCTTTTGACCTTGTAAAATCTGATGATTACAAGCTTGTATGCGTATTTGGGGATGATAACATCGGCCAAGTCCAGTTCTTTGTGTATTCATATGAAACTGGAGAATGGAGGGATATGGAGTAGACATTGAATAAGCATTACTATTTTCAAAGAGGGGTGTTATGGAATTGGGATCTTCACTGGGTTAGTGAATATTGCACTACTTTATGCTTTGATTTTGATGATGACTGCCTTAGGCGGGTTATACCCGAGTTCCTAAATCCCTATGATGACTGCTTGGAAATTTGCCAATTTGGAGAGTCGGGGTAATTTACTTTACATTGGTCTAAACATGCCTAAAATCACAGAGCTTAATGTTTTCACATTGGACAAAGTCCATTCTAAGTGGATTCAGAAGTATCTGATGGATATTTCAAGTCTGAAAATTTTGTATCCTACAAATTTTCTTGTAGACCATGATCTTTCTGTGCAGAAGAAGATTGATTTTCATATACCTTTACTTCTTCAGAACAGGAGAGAAAATATTGTAATTCTTGTGTTGTCAATAAAGGGAAAAATCATTTCTTTTGAGACCAATTCCGTGACTGTCAAGGAGCTTGCAGAGGTACGGCCCAGGGAGCAAGGTACATATGGAGGGAAGGCTACCAGCATATTGAGACATTGGCCTCTGTTTAATTTTGGTCTACATCATTTTGGTATGTGAAGCGGTGACTCAATGACCCTGTATCCACCTATGATTAGGTATATTCAAGCTTTACGTCGTACTTGTATTCTTGTCATCACTATCACCCAAAAACACATTGATTATGATATTTGCATATTGGTAGCTGTTTACGTTGGGAATAGATGTGTTTTAGAGGAAGAAGATATCAGCTCTGCAATTTTTTAGCCTAGTTGCAATTCCATTCTTCTGGTTATTGACTATAGAAGCTTCCTGAATTGTTGCAATTCCGTTCTTCTGGTTGTTGACCACAGAAAGTGCCTGAATAGTTGAAATTCCATTCTTTTGGAAACTTGAAATTTGTATTAATGAGATGGAATTTTCAGCATGATGCAATTGATTTTGAGTGCTCTATGTCGAATCTTAGTCTTTGTTCGTCGCCCAATTTATTTTTTATCATACTGGGATAATCTGTGGTATAAGTAAATTGAGGGACAAGAAGACTTCTACTTCCTCGTTCATTCTTCTCTTTAATAGTGGACTTCTGCTTCGTTAAAGTTCAATTTCATTATTATTATCGCTCTTAACTTGTGCTAATCTGCTGCATAATTAACAATTAACTAGATGATTTTATATTTGCCTTCCTTCAATTGTTCTTAAGGTTTGAAAATTTTGTATGGTTTGTAGATAATCAAATACTAATCATGCCACTAAGAGTTTTTCAGCCGTATCAGTAAAGAACGGGTGATTTTTGAAGGATTATTCCCCCAGTCTTCTAGTTGAATTTCGTTCTTTTGGTATTTGACTATAAAAGCTCCTGGAAATTGGAATAGATGTTTCAAAGTTTATTATCGCCCTATACCTAACAAGCCTGACTTTTGCTACTATTCTTTGGTGAAGATTGCTTCTTGTATCTGTAACACTTGTATGGTTCGGCTATTGATGGATTCATTTCTTGTAGAGGATTATTTTTTTGGGGTGCGCATTTCAAGAATTTTCAGTAGGTGCCCCTGTTTTTTGGTCAGCAAATATTCTATGCTAGAAGTTGGCTATCAACTTCTTCTAATAAAGCTGTAAACATGAGAATCTATGAGCTTGCTGCTCCAATGTGTTCAACCTCAATATGTTATTGTGCGTCCAGTTGTAGCTTTATCAAAAAATCTGCCAAAACATGACAAATTTTTTTCCCAAGTGAAACTTGGATGACAACAATGACATCCTAAATAATAATTACTGTTTAAATGTTTATAATAAAATCACATCTGTGAATAATCCATTTATTTTAACAAAAACATGACATTTCCACTTATTGAAAACACAAATTAGAATCAAATTCGTACTTATGCTCTGCTGACCTAGAGAATGAACTGTCAAAATGAGCATAGATGACAATGCTTTGTGTCTATTTATACATTAACTAGAATTAGCAATTTATTTATTTCTATCTTTATTTTCATACAAGCAAATCTTCTCTTGTGCTCACTGGAAATTCCGGAATGACTGGGGCTATAGTGGTTTATTTGTTCATAGTATCTAGTTGAATAAAAGTATGTTTTTAGATGTATTAGCTAATTGCAGGCAACTTCTTCAAGTTGCTGGAAGTTTTGGCACCAATCAGGGATAGGTAACTGCATTGTGACTTTGTATTAGGCTATCAGGTATGATTAGTTTGTTCAAAGTCAGGGATACATGCATCATTGGATAAGAACTTTGCTTTGAAATGCCAAGGACAACCATCTGTCGAATACAATATGTTTCACCCCATGATTGGACAACTTCACCTTTGAAACACAGGGAATGTGTGTTGCAGAGTTGGGGATGATGGTCCTAAACCTTCCCTAAGTACAAACAATCCACTTTCTGTGATTCATTTCAATCTTAAGCTTTGGCAGCATGATAATGTAGTGTCAATTTTGGTCTACCCTTTTGTACTTCGTATTGAGATACTTTTTTTTTTTTTTGCTATAAATGAATTCAGAGATGAGACGCTTCAACCTGATTGTTCTTTGTTGTCTGGGCAGAGTTCTTCTGCTTCACTATACTACAGTTTACAGTATCATAAACATTCGAAACTCTTCACATTTTGCTACTTTTCCCCGATTCAGTGTAAACGGTTTCTTACGCAACATAAGAACATTTTGCTAAGTTTCCCCGATTTTGCACCTCTTGCAGTTGTGCTTGCACTGAAGAGGATAATATGTCCTTTTGGAAGTATGAGATTATGCAATTCTGGCTGCTAGGGTAAGCAGAAATGGCTTCAGCCTTCATGACTGTACCTGCATGCATAATAGCTTGTGGATGATTCCTGGTAAGTAAGGTGGTTTTCAATGGCAGGTAATATTACACTAGAACTACTTTGCCTATGGATCTATTTTACTGCTAATTTGGACCAACTTTGAGATACTAGGAGTAAAATCATGTCCCTTTAGGGTACATAATAGTAGGTGAGCTCGAGTGTTAGTCGTTTGAAAAAAATTTAAAATTTCTTCGCTAGAGTTTCCTAATTTTGGAAGGTAGATGATAATGTTTAAAATTTGAAATAGATCCACCCCTTATATTTTGTATAGGAATGACAATGGAGCGATTTTGGGGGTAGAGAAGATTCCCCTACCCCCGACCTGTTTCACAAAAGTTCCCCCACTCCCGCTCCCACTCTCACTCCCCCAACACGTGCCCCTGCACCACTACGCCAGCAGGGTGTACCCCCGCTCCACTATCATTATTATTTTTTATACGATTAACATTTTCTATTTGTATAGATATAATACTAGTTTTATGAATAATTCTTATGAAATTTTAGCAAAAAATTATATCATGTTATCGTAACAACATATCATGTAACTTACTCAATAACAATATATTTATATAGTAATAATAACATAGCATTTATTTCACATTATATATATAAAATATACATATATGTTACGCTATATTAAAATTTAGGCAAGGGGTGGATCAGGGAATGGGTTGGGGGTACGCTCCCCCGCCTCCCTGCTCCATATAATGTAGGGGAATAAAAATCTGCTTGCCCTTGCCCTAATCCCTGCTCAATCCCACCTCCCATGGAGTGAGTATCCGCCTCCGTTGCTATCCCTAATTAACATATACTTATCCAAGTGTGATGCTTGATAAAAGCGCATGAATATAATTACTTGGAAAACCATATTCAGTTTAACCCATTGACAAGCGTGCTGACAAGTGAGTAGTTGGTAAGTAATTAACTCACACTACTGTCGTGGGAGCTTTTCTTCAACCCTTGAATGTAGAGAAATACCATTTTGTGGTAGGATAATTGTGAATAATCATTCAATTTTGAGATTACAACTTTCTCCTATAAAGCTAAGATCCTACTAAGCTAAGCTAAGATACATGGTGCATATGCCCCAATTCCAAACTTTTTTTCTTTTTTCTTTTGGGTAATGCTATTAGCACTCTCCATATGTTATTTGCATTCCCACTATTCCGTTTTTATTTTGATGAGACCATATACCCCCTCCCTACTTTCTTCTCCTTGCCTATGAGTTAACTTTACTAGAATTTCTCTTACATTCTAAAACCAGTTAATGATTCCATTACACATTAAAATGGCTAATTTAAAATTGTCACTAATATGTATTATGTATTTTTTTACAAAATGTCACAACATTATATGATGCCAAAGATCAATCTAGCAGTGTAATATGATCAGATTCCAAACTTCAAGCCCAAAAAAATAAAAACAAAAATCCCAATCTTCAAAGGTGACTAGAAACTGAGTAAAACTACAATGTCTCATAAATAGGATACTAATACTTCAGAAAATCTACTAAAAATAGCTCATACCACATAGGGAGTGAAGCTTTCTTGTATATTTCAACAATAGAATAACATCATCCAGTATCCAGATGATGCAATGGTACCTCAATTAAAAAAACAGTTATGTAGATTTAGAAAAGAGAAGCAAAAGTTATGTAGATTTAGAAAAAGAGAACACAATTGTGCCCAACTTCCTTAAGTGTTAACAAAAGATAGGGTAGAAGAAAAAATTAAGACAGTGGTAATATGGTCTCATCAAGATGAAAATGGGATAGTGGGAGTGCAAATAACATAAGGGAAGTGCAAATAACATTACCCTTTCTTTTTCATCCTTATTTTGTATCCGAAGATGTATTGAAAGTTCATTGTTTACATGAGCAAATTACTCGGACAACCACTAAACTTTACAAATGGTCAAGTTTTAACCAATCAACTATTAATAGTATGTTTGTATCCACTAAATTATCAAAAGCGTAAATTTTGGGCAATTTCGTCTAATTTCACCATTAATTTTACCATATCTAACCGTTAATAGCATGTCTCGTGAATTATGCAGGCCCTTAGATTTGGCAAAGTTAACGGTAAAATTAAATGAAATGACCCAAAATTTATACTTTTGATAGTTTTGTAGATAAAAGCATACTATTAATAGTTGAATGGCCAAATTTTAACTATTTAAAAAGTTCAATGGCTACCTGCATAATTTACTGTTGTTTACATAATGCCCCTTTGAAAGTTGCTCTTGTACTAATATCACCAAAAGACAAACTTGTACAAGGAAGCATTGTGCTTCCTTTGTTCAAAAAATTTAGAGAGGGTAGTAGCGCACTTGTGTAGTCTTGAGATTTATCCCCAATTCCTATACAATTTCAGTTGCGCTCCCTCTCTCCCCATGATATAAGAGTAGTGTAGATTGAATCAAAATCTTGCAACGGATTGTTATGCATTGAGATTGCATCCAAATCTGATCATAGAGAGTTCATTGTGTATAATCCCACCACCAGTCAGCATAGGATTATTTCCCTGAAGAAATCAGGAGTAGAACAAGATATGTTTCAACCTATTAATATTGTTTTTGATCCTTTAAAATCTGATCATTACAAACTTGTGTCCGTGTGGCGCAATCCAAATCTTGCAACACATTGCTATGCATTGAGATTGCATCCAAATCTGATCATAGAGAGTTCATTGTGTATAATCCCTCCACCAATCAGCATAGGATTATTCCCCTGAAGAAATCAGGAGTAGAACAAGATATGTTTCAACCTATAAATATTGTTTTTGATCCTTTAAAATCTGATCATTACAAACTTGTGTCTGTGTGGCGCAATCCTGATGAAAACAGTGGAGAGTTGGGTTTTATTGTGTATTCATCTGAAAGTTTGGTTTGGAGGGAAACAGAAGAGACATATGAGATTTATGATGTGTTCTATGAAAGAGGGGTGTATTGGAGTGGTGGTCTTCATTGGGTTGGAATTTTCAATAGTATATGCTTTGGTTTGGATAATGAGTGTCTAAGGCCGATAATTCCTCATCCTCCAACTCCCTCTCTGTGTTTGTGGAACACCTGCTACTTTGGAGAGTCAGTGGGGCATTTGTATTTATTCGTCTGAGCAAACCTCAAGCAATGCCAGTGAAAGTCTTTTCTCTGAAAAGGGGCTATTCTGAGTGGGTTGTTGGGCATTTTATCGATCTTGCTCCTTTGACTGCTTAGTATCCTTCAATGGTGGTTGAAGGGAGGTCGTCAAATGATAAGAAATTTGATTTACGCATGCCTTGTTTTGTTGTGGATGAGAAAGAAAAGAAAGCAACTGTTGTGATATCACTAGAGGGTAAAATCAATTCTTATGATATAAATGATAAGACCGTGAAGGAGCTTGCTGAAGTAGATCCGAGTCATCTGCGGGAGCTTCCTTCTTCCTTTAGAGCTTCTTCAAAGTATATTTGGCTGGACGCGGTCCAGCATATTGAGACTTTATCTTGTGTTTAGTGGTCTATCTCATTTCAGCTTGCGCACTGGTTTGATGACCCTGTTTTAACAAATTCAACTAGTCTATGAACAGAATGGTAGCAGAATTAACCAGCTTACTTGCTATGTAGTTTGCCAATCCATTATGATGCTTCTTGACTAGAGTTTCTTTAATTGACGTTTTAAACTTTTTCCAAAGTATATTTCCCCATGGATTCTTGTTTCTTTCTCTGATAACAGACTTCTGTGAAAGCTTTATAATTAGCATGAATTGCTTCGGTGCCTAGCGAAATTTTTTTTTTTGAGTTACAGTATGTTTTAGATGTGTAAGCATTGTAAATTTTGAGATTTTTGGTGCACTAGTTGATAATTAACTAATTTTAAACATCTAACTCATCACAACATACTATCTGGGCAATTTGAATACAATGTGCTATGCTGGTTGCCAGAATTAGCTTCTGCCTTTCATGACTGTTACTACTATAATAGCCAGTGGATAGTTCCTTGCAATTAAGGTGGTCTTCAATGGCAGATAGCACTGAGGGATAGACTTCACTGCCCAAGAAGCAGTTTATGTTGTTTGACTTATTAGATTTCTAACATCTCTGGTTTCAAGTGTGACTCTCCCTCCATTTCAACCATATGGTAGTTGCCAACTAGTTTGGACTGTGCCAATTTTCTTGGATAGGTGCTTCAAGCTTGATTAGCATTGGAAACTAAGAAACACCTTTTTTTTTTTCAGTAAATCTGACAGCTATTTTAGAACTTTTTTTTTTAAATGTATATAATTTCTCTTTAATCTTTTTCATTGTGGTTTTCTTCTTCTTTTTTGTTGGTGGGTTCAAAAACCCAGATTACAGTAGGTTGCCCTTTTGATTTAGGGAACTTAATGTACATGATCGCCTCCTACTAGATAAATTTAATTGCTCATTAGACAGGAAGGAAATTGCTACTACAATAATATTCAGCTGAAAATGTTAAAGCGATCAGTAAATCACAAATGTTTCATATTGGTGAGTGAACTTGTTCTGATTTTATATGGGTCATTCCGGCTATGGCAAATGTTACTGTTGCCATTTTATTCAATTTCATCCCTTAACAGGTATTCAAATTAATTATCTAGTTTAGGACATTTTTATTTGTTTGCATCGCCCGTGTACCCATTTGTGTATATGAGAAATGGGAGTTTGCGTAAAGCAAATAGATGAAAATGCCTCTGAAATAGATAATTTGTAATTTAGATATGAAGCCTTTTGTTTACAGAGAAGAAAAATCAGACCAAATGAGCACAATGAGGCATGCCAGATTATTGGATGAGCAATTTGAGGTGAAAACTATGTAGGCAATTTCAATTTAACAAGTCTTTGTTTTTTTCCCATTCTTTCTACTTTATGGTAGTTGTCATTTGCCAAGTATTTTTGTGCATTCCTAATTACGAAAAAAGATGGTAAAGGCGGTCTTATTTTGTAAAATTTTTTGTAAAAAAAAAGAAAAAGTATTGTAGCGATTTCCTGTGTGTGAGGTACAAAAAGTGATTGAAAAACGTGTTTACGAAAATGCATTTTTTTTTTTTTTGTAGAAAACTGCAATCCAAACACCACCAAAGTTTGATTAAAAGTAAAAACCATGAACATATAATTTCTTCCAAAGCATGTTTAATTCGATTACTTAATTTTTTCATTGTTTTCCATTTATTTTATTTATTTGATAATTCTAAAAGTTTTATTCGATTTGATTTGGCTACAACCTCACAATTACTTCTTCTTCTGCATTATTTTCCACACCAATTTGCTCGTCACTCAATTATATGGCTCGAGATATCTGTTTAGTGTAACTTTAGTTCTTGCAAAACACACACACACACACACACACACACACACACGCGCGCGCACAAAACTTGATAGAATAGGTGTTTGCTGAAATATATCATGTGGGAAAACTTCATAACAACTCAATGGACCCTATGCCCATTAAATCTTCTATGTTAGGAAGGTAACTCAGTAAGATATGCACTAGAAAGAATTGTCTAAAAGATCCTGCTGTGGAACATGAACCATCAGTAGATTTGGAGGCCTAAAAATATGGTAATAAGAGGACTATAGGCAACCTCGAGGGACCTGTCTGCCATAGGAAGTGCCAATAACATTAGAGCAAGATGCAATTGCAGGTCCTCCTTGGCCTCTGTAAGCTAAGTCAATATCCACGAGCTTCACGTCTTGGCATGGCACCAATTTGCTACATTGCAAAGATAATGCAACCTGAGAACTGGATGTGCCCCAAATGTTGCTGAATTTTACATCTCTGATTTGAACTTTTGAGACTGATTCATCACCCTAAAAACAACAAATTAATTATTAAGTAGTACTGTCGCAAAAGAAAACGGATTGAGTATAAATTGAAAACACGATTAAATTTTCTTACACCATCAGCATAAATTTCGATACGTGTCACGTGTATAAAAAGAGAATCTTGATTTGCAATAGATGTTATATGTCACGTATCCAAAGCCGTGTAAAAGTGGTATTACTGCACTGTCAGTGTACAAATTGGACGTAAAGAAAAGAAATCATACCGATGGGGGGCAAGATGGGCAGTACTTCTGATCAATAATGACGGGGTTGTTAACATTTTGCATTATGATGTTGTGGAAGCTAATATTTGCAGCCAAACTAGACAAAGAAGGCGACCAGGTCTTGATCCTCACACCATTTTGAGTATTACTGAAAGTGGCATTCCTTACACTTATGCCCATAACATATTCATTCTCAAACCCTCTGCCAAGGCTTCCAATGCTGATGCCATGACCAGGGCCACAATTAACTTCAGAAATGTCAATGTTCTGGCTGCCTGAGACCATGGATATGCAATCATCACCTGTTCCTATGTTCACTCTCGATATTTTTATATTGGTTGAGGCCCCAATGTGGATTCCATCTGTGTTTGGAGAACTCTCTGGAGCAGTCAGCCTGACATAGCTGATGTTTATGTTGTCGCATGCAAAAAGGTTGATATGGGCCTTTTTGCTGTTGATTGACCTTATGTACTGAATCTTGGAATTCCTGATGAAGTCGAACCTCAAACTCTGACAGGATCAAATCAGGGAAATGAAAACAGTAGAGACCTGATATTAGGCTATATATAGAGAGAGAGCAGAAAAGCTGTAATGAACATTCGAAAGAAGAAAATTTTGATAAGGTATTTACTTCTTAAATGATGTGACACTTGCTTTCAAGAAGAATAGACTTTGATCAAAATCAAGCTTTTTAGACGTCACATTTACCAAATTCGGCAAACGTGAGGACCCTTTGGTTCAGAACATACAACCAGAAATACCATTTTTTTTTGTAGAATGTTATTTATTCTTTATTGTAATCTTTGGAAGTTCTCTGGTTAATTGTGCACTATTTTCCAAATTTCCTACAAAAAGAAAATTACAACAGCATAACCACTCCATCGAACTCATAATTATTGAAATACATTAAATTTTTCACTAGAAATGTTAAGGAATTATCAAGGTGTGAACGAATTAGGAGGATGATTATAGTTAATCCCTCTTCAATCAAGTCCAAATTCGAGTAACTTAATAGTTAAAACAAAGCCTAATACCAATTCAGGAACAAAGGCTACCTATTAAGTAGTACAACAGCGTACTCGTCGTATTAAGTGTTCCCAATAATAAGCTTAAGGAGAATCTGCTAGCCTTAAACAAAATATTCAACCTCATAATTGAGCAACAATTCGTAAAGAATTTAAGATAACAAAAGAGATTATTATAAGGGTAAGTGGTGATTAAAGATCCCCCTCCCCCAAAAGAAGAGAAAATCTAAAGTCGAGAGAGACTTCAAAATCATCAATCTCTTTCCCCATGCACACCCAAAAAAAAAAAAAAAGTGATGTGTGCTATGAAGAAATGGAACTTACAATAGGGAGGGGCAAGCATTGAGAGTTCTTGAAGCAATCATTGTAAGGCCAAGCAGAAGCACCTTGACCATCCAAATATCCACCCCCTTTCACACTCAAATTATCAACATAACGAAATCCAATCCAAGTGTCTGTGAAGAACAATGCAGGATTATTAGGAGCCCTAAGAGTCCCTTTAATCATAAATGTCATTTCTCCAAGACATGGTCCCAAAAATGTTACTGAATGCAGCAAGTAGATTCCCCCTGGAATCAAAACTCTGCTCCTTCCTTTCCATCTACAAGCATCAATCCATGCTCTCAGGAATGCCTACCCAAAAGTACCCAAAAACAAAAGAGAAAATATTAATCCACTTTCCAATAATCTCAAAATGCATAAGTTCTTTTTCGTTTTGTGGGCGAAATTAATAACAAAAGTACGTAAAATAGAAATACTTCCACGCAAATTTGTTGAAAAGTAGTACTGTAAAAACATCAAGTTCATAATGAACATTAGTAGATTTCCCTTTTGGAAAATCCCATGGGTTGGCTGATTTAGTCTGCACAAACTAACCTGACTGTTATCTGTGTTTCCATCAGCTCTTGCACCATAGTTCAGAACATTGAAGATTTTAGGTGGCAAAAATGCAGAAGCATCAGCAGCAGTCCAGAGGAAGATGAAAACTATAAGAATCCCAAAAGCAGATCTTGAAGCCATGTTTCTTGAATTCTGAGAAATGCATTGGTTTCTAGCTTGTTCTTTATATACTAAATATATTACATGTATTTTGGTTTCTTGCCAAACATAGGAATGGCCAAAATAAGGCCGTAAATCTTTGATTGCCTTTATACTCGTTTGTCAATATTTTCTCCTATATTCAAGGAAGACGTATAAATACATGCTTTTATCTTCTTTATATTTTTACCTTTTGGATTCCCATCTTCATTTAATCAAATCCTAGAATCTTTCCCTGCAAATATATTTTTCCATTTTACCATATTTACCATCTGTAATGTCTTTGCTTGAATGTGCATATCTTTCTTGACCCAAAGAATCTTCGTCTGAGATAATATCTTTTCCTACCATTTTGATTTTGAATTGTTTTTCCTATGTCACATAAAAATTATACTTACATTTTCCTCGAGTAATTAAGTTTGGTAGTTAAATTAATGTTCTATTACCATTCGTTTCTTTTTCTCCAATCCTCCGAATTATTTTCTTAAAGAACACCCTCAATACGTTCAGAATGTCAAGAGCCACTTTGATCTTTAATGTTACTCATTCCTTTTTTATGCAATAAAAAAAAAGAACTCAATTGTTTGGCTAGAAGGATTTTTCACATTCCCTGTCTTTATAAATACATTAATTAGGATTAATTAGAAAAATGGGATTTCAATTCATTAAGTTATACTATATCCTAGAAAAATATATATCATAAAATATCCTATTAAATAAAGTTATGTATATTATTAATGGAGAACCTTCTTCAACCGACAATAGCATTAGATGTTCCCTTTAACACTAGGCCTCAGTTCAGAAGCTTTAACGTGTGAAAATGTTATCTTTGCTATTGCAGCCAAAAAGTGTAAGTATACATGAATGAGGGTTTATTGGAAAAATGGCATTTCCATGCAGCAATTACTAATTATCCTATATTCTAGGAAAATAAATATCGCATAATATTCTATTAAATACCAATTTCCTTGTCCAAATTATGTACATTATTATTATTATTTGAAGAAATTGGCCATTCATCAAGAGTCCCACATTCTTCAACCGAAACATTAGGAGGTCGGTTGAGAAACTTTTATAAGCGAAACATCATCTTCCTAATGCAGCAAAAAAGAGCCCTTTTTTTTTTTTTTAAAAAAAAAAGGCTGCTAGGAAGGCTTAACGGCCCATTACCTATCTAGGAATTATAAGGAAGGACATGCAGCATGGAGTCATCGCTGCTCAATGATCATTGCATCCACTTCTTCTCCTACCTTTTTTTTCCAAATGGTGAAAGGGATGACAACTTTTGTTCAAAATATCAAATAAATTTGCCAATAAGGATGGAGGGAAATATGAAATACACTCTTTTTTTTGGTTAATCGCACCCCCCGCCCCCACCCCCGCCCCGTTCCCCGCCTCCCACTCCCCCCGCCCCGCCCCGCTTCCCCCGCAGGTGCCCCCGCGGGGTTAATAAAATTTTCCCTGCAGGGTTAATAAAATTTTATTATAGTTAAATTTTAATAAATAATCAAGTACTAAAATATCAACACATCATCAAGTTATTATTCATTTTAATTTTACAATTGAAACTCATAAAAACAATCAAACAAAAGTTATTTGAATACAATTCAACATGATGAAATAAATACAACTAAAATAGTTAAGTTTTCACTTTTGGTACAAATACAATCACTAATTCATTATTGTGTTTGTGCTTTTTTTTTGAGAAAAAAATGTTATTCTATTAAGTGTAATTAGAAATTTAGTATAAATGTATTAGTAAATTTAGCATAACTAATTAATAAATTTTATTAGTAGACATGTCTAATTATTCGTATAATTGATAATATCAATTATATTACATACACTAATATACATTATATAATACATCTAACTAATAATATCATTATCATAAGTTTATAACTAATTAAATTATATATTATATATAATTATATATATAATTTTTTTTTGCGGGTGGCGGGGCGGGGGATGGGACGGGGGTATACTCCCCCGCCCCCCGCCCCGTTTCTAAACGGGGGGAAAAAAATTCCCCCCGGCCCCGAGAGCCCCCCGCGGGGCGGTTGCTCGCGCGCACCCGCCCCCATTGCCATCCCTAGGGTTCCTATGACCAATATAGCTAAATCAAGAGCCTCATCAACAAAGGAATGTGACTCCTTTGCATAAAAACCTTTCATCCACCTCCAAGTCTTCTTGACCTCCTCAACGATTAGAATCTTCATTTCAGCATCAGCTGGTTAGCATTTTTCCTAGGCGAACATATCAAACTCATACACCTGTGCCTAGTTATAGCACTGGGAATATATCTGCAACTTGGTTGAATATTGGCGAGAGTTTACTTCTTTTGATCTCCTCAACCATTCATTTCATCAATAATCAGACAACATTTTTCGCAGCAGATGTTAGTGAACTATTGTACTTGTGCATACTATTAAAATCACAGGGGGTGCTTTATGCAACTCGATCGGCTAAATGTTGAACTGTTTTTGGCTTCATTGATCGCTGCCTCAACGCTTCAGAAAAGCTGCTCAAGTGTCGCCTGACGTGATGCATATATTGTTTAAGCTTATTTGAGAGTAAGGAAGCAATTAGAGACGTTTCTGAACGAAGACGTTTCTGAGCATTTCCTTAAGGCCATCCAATTTTTGTGTTGATTGCCGAATTTCAATAATTAGGATAACTTTTCAGTGATTGGGATCGGGGGCTAATATTGGTCAAGTTGCATGGAAAGGAAATACGTACGGGGGCAATCTCATGACAAGCAAATTACGGATAACAGATGTCCAAAAGAGAATGGATATTTCGCTTCATCTTCCGTGTAAATCAAGGTAAATGATCGATGGCTGCAAATAATTGAAAGTATAAAAATATTCTAGGATTCATCCTCCTTGTACATACCTTTTTGTCCCTCCTAATTTTAACATTTCAAAAGTTAATACTCCGGTAACAAATTACTCCAGCTATTGGCAATGGATAAAAGGAATTTATCCCAAAATCAAAACAACATCAGAGTGGCTTAATCATCACATATTTTTTTATGTTTTCTCACTCACAACAGCACAAAAAAAAAAAAAAGGACAGAATATTTTAGGATGTTGATATTTCACAGTCTAAGCAGTGCAATCGTTTGATTGAACTGCAGGTTGCGGGCATCATACTAAAGCATAACCTTGCCTCTAGGACAACAATGAAAATATCCACGCATTAATCCTCAATTTTACGCTTGTAAAATATGTAATGTTCTTTTACAGAGTCAGAAAATGGCGTCATGAATATAATATAAAAGCTTTTTAACTTTTCACTGATCACCACATAGAAAAATACAAGCTTAGAGCCGACTGAGCTTACTTGTACATGAAAACTTTATTGGAAAGTACAAACACCAAATCCGATATAACATCATGACAAAGTAACAAGAAGTTACCCTTACCACTATTTAGGGAGAGGACTTCTTTAGAAGTAAATTCATGGTTGAGAAACAAAAGAAAAGCACATTAGAACAGTAAACACGGAAATCTGTTTAGACACATATGAACCCTGGTGGAGCACGCCGGTCACAAGCATTCAGAGTCACGGCAAGGTTAAGTGGGAGATTAAGGTGGATGCCCAAAACATTGAATTTCAGGGCTGTGCAAAAGCAAACAGCTGCCCCGAGGTCAGCAAGGCCATCAATGAGAGAGCAACAAGGTCTTGTTACGGGAGATCCACCGAAGATCCCAATCACACTCAGCAGATTAGCACATATGCCCAATTTCAAGGCATCTTTTGGGCAAGTTGCTTGAGGAGGTGGTGCGCAATGGACACTAGCACTGACCAGAATGAAAAAGGCAAGAAAGAGAGCTGGGTTTGTAGTGGCCTTGGAGCCCATATTCTCAAACCCCAATAATACCTAAGCACTCTTGGTTTAGTCAAGAAAGAAAGATTTTTGCTGTGCAATGTTTTGGAAGAGGTTGAGGGTTTTATACTGAGCAAGGAGGGTCAATTTCTTGGTTTAGCCGGCTACCGAAGCATAGGGTTTGGCAAACCCATTGGATGCGTTTATCCCAGCCTACTATATAGTTCTATACCAAACATTAGCTGCGCTGTAAACTTTCTAGTGGGTTTACTTATGTCGTGCTTAATGTATTTATTCCTTACATGATAGCTTGAATGGCATGGCAAAGTTTTGTTATTTATGCAACCACTCTACTATTTCTACCCCGTCAAAGAAAGAAGGCTCGAATGGCATAGAGATTCAAAAGCAACTTTATTAGCCGTTTTTGCGCTGCTTAATTTATGCCTGACTCGTGTGCTCAATTCATTCTAATAGCGTCATTTCGCAATACAAGCTGGCTATGTTAGTCAGGATGGATTATTTTTTCATAAAAGATTGTGTGTTCAAATCCAGCTATTAATGTGAAGGTTATAATGGTGGCTGATTTATAAAAATTCCCATAAGTAACATATAATTCTGAGAGCATTGCCTTGACCCATGGTGGTGATATGAGTTGAATCCATCCTAGTTTGAAACTTTCTACAAATTCACTTACTTTTGAAATGATATACCGAAACTTCAATTGAAGCTTAAACTCTTTTATGTACACTTGGATTAGTCTACTTTCCTCGATGATTGAAGATGAAGACAGTGATTGATGACTCAATGAGTTCAGGGATTTGAAAGGTTTTTTTCTTATTGAAGGATCTATCTTACGAGTGTCCAATGGACACAACTTAAGATGGAGTTCAAATATTAACATTTAAAAAAAAAAAAATTTCAATTGAAATAGTGTAAAAATATCCTAGATGACAATAGTGTAAACGTATACATTTACATAGTAAATTGATGTGTATTAACAAGTGTTCCATTAGAAAAACCCTTGACTTAATTCAGTGTTCTTAAATTTCCATTTTCATTGCAAAATGATCTAAAAATACTCGAAATTTGGCACTTGTATTGCCGATTATAATTGAATGACAAGGTTCCAATTTAATCAATCATGCATGCAAGATCTCATCCCACATCCCACATCCCACTTTTGAATGCTCAGCTATATTTTATGTTTGCCAAATTCTTCCTTTGATGTAACCTAAACAACTAAGTTCTTTTGATGTGTGCAAATTTTATTTTGACTTTGAAACTTGATCAAACTTTTAAATTGCATAATTGGATCATAATCAGCAAAAAGGAACAGAAATGGTAAAATCAATGTCCTAATAAATATAGGCGCACACGTTTCTTAGTCAAGGTAATTTGGAAGTGAATGTTTCATATTTTTTTCCCTTTTCTATTTATTTTCGTTTTAGATGACTTGTTCAAGACAAAGAGAGCAAATTTCAAACCCCATAATTCAAGAACAATTTTGCTAATGCCACTAACATATTATGAACAGAATATGAATATAACATATTACATCAGAAATTCCAGATATCTTAATCATTAATTTGACTACATATTGCATTAGAACAAAGGAGGAATTCAAACTTTTCTGCATCATTTTGCTGATAGTTGCTAAACCTATTAAAATATCAGCGTAAGCAAATCAAATCTGTAGGATAACCCACCATGGTGTGCTTCCATGAAGAAACATTTCACATAGATCCTTCAAGAACTTCCGAACAACCCAATTTTTCAACAACTGCTGGTGAATAATAATTAAACTTAATTCACAGTTTTACATTTGTACATTTCTAAATATCTTACATGCGATTTTTCGCAAGTATATAAGTCGTAAGCGAGTATAGAGTATTAAACGTCGAACCCACAAAGAAGATGGACAACTACCGGCACCACTAAAACTTCTCTATTATTTAGACTATCAACAAATTAAAACAAATAAACTAAATTATAAATGGATAGACAAATACAAATAAAAGCTCTTTGGGTAATGGAATCCTTACCTATTCATGCTAGTGCAACTCCCTAACCAAATGAATACCAAAATCTCATTTAAATTATGGCATAATTTCCTAATATGCATGATACTCATTTTCATCAGTAAACCAACTATACCTATAGTTAATTCATACATACTTTCGTGGTTATGAAATCAACTACAAGTTCATTAACTTCTATGAAATTACATGGAACAAAGCCACAAAAGCCACAAATGTATACCTCTACTTTCATGAGTGTACTCTCTAATTTTAACACTTCTATAAACAAGTATCAAATTCTAATTCTCATTGCAAATCTGACACCCTGAAATGATCATAATCAATGGCTAGTTAATCATTATTATAAGAGCAAAAGTGCTAAATAACTCAAACAAGATAATACTATCAATTAGCCAAAAAATTAACACCAAACAATCATAGAAAACTCAACCAAATACCCAAGTCATATGCTTTAAATCAACATCACAAACACAACATCCAAATCTTGCATTAACAAACTTAGAGTTCAATGACAGGTGTCGAGCCTGTGCAATAATAAATGCCTGCTCAAACAAGGTATAATTTCTGCAAATAGTAATAAGCAGGGTCGTATCCTCAGGGACTGAGAATATTTGTCTCTTTGAAGTTCCAATTGGCAATGGGGGGTTTTATCGGAATAAAGTTAAAAGCAATTGAGCAATCCAACCAAAAACAAACAATTAACTAACACAACTGTAGACAGGAATTAAAGCAACAATAGACAAATTCTAGCCAAGGATACAACTTCTCAGAGATAGTCCACTCATCCGATCATTGATGCAAGGGAGGTTCACTTAATTTATTAATATGTTAGTTATAGTCACCGACGAGCTCTGACAACCAGCTTTTTCTTAGTTTATGGGTAACTAAGGTACGACCATTAATTACCCCTAACCAGGAAACACTCCTAGGTACGACCGTAGGAATTAATTTCCTAATTGCATTAAAAATTAGAAAAATCTAACCCTAATCAATAACACGCTACGAGGGTTATTTAGATCAGATCGCATGTTCCCCTAGTGTGTATAAATGCTAGTTGCCACTGATATTAATTGATTAAACAATTACGAATTTAATTGATTAATTTGATAGGAGATTAATAAGTCACCTTGAATATCGGGTCCTTGACATCCAATTAACAAAATAATCCCATAGAATTTCAAATAGAAAACGTGCAAATACTAACAAATTAAGAAACACATGAAAACTAATTCGATCTCATAGATTTCCGGGACTGTGTCGTCACATTGATCCTTGACTAGATGAAAAGCTTAGCCACGCCTCATGAGAAAATGTCCACGCAATTCAATTGATTTCAAAACATCTCTTTTTCTATAATAATCAATAATAATAACAAAGCTGTGTTCCAGTAGTCCTCATAGAAGAGACGGAAAAAAGAAAAAAAACAAAGGAGCAAGGAAACGGCCAATGCCAAAAGAACGAAGCCGTCCCCACCAAAGAAAGTTTTCTTGTTTTTATCTAAACTTGTCCTCGCTGTTTCCGAATCCCCCTAGGGATCAATTACAAAAGGGTCCTATTTCTTCTTGGTTTCCTCCTACCAACGCACCACAAGGCCACCAGAATAGGAAACTTTGTCCTCCAATTGGAGTCGGCTTGTAACTCTTGCATATTTGCACGTCTCATCCTTCACTTTTCAGGATTTTGTACTCCACCCCTGCAATTATGTCCAAATGTCAATTATAAGTAGAATCCGACAATTAACAACATATTTGGCACCAATAATGAGTGAAATCAACTAGAAAATGACTAACAATTAACACCCTATCAATTTCCCCTATACCTAAATCATGCTTATCCTTAAGCATGAGAACAACTAAACTCAAACAATGGTCAGCTCTCACGTCATTTATTGCCAAGCTGTGCTTATACCAAAATCAAGGTTTAGTGGCTAAGTGTCAAGACATAATCCTCCTGGGTAGCTCCTGAAATCAAAGACTCGTCCAATTCATGTCTAACTCGTCTAGGAAGGCAAAATATTAAACTAGCAACAGTCAGCAATTGGTCCAACTGGCAACCAAAATCTCAACATTGAAACCCAAGGATCGGCAGGCCAACATGATCATATGCTTACATATTTTTCATATTTGTTTCTTTTCCCTTTTCTCTCTTTATTTATTTTTTTGTTTTGTTTTTCTTTTTTCTTTTGAAAGAATAAATGCTTAGTCCCAAGTCATTCAAGTCTTTTGATGTGAACTCAGACACTTTTAGATGAAAGAGCCCAGTTACTCAACTTTTCACCACTTCAGGACCACATACTCATAGATATCGCCACCTTTTGATGCGAGAGTCGACATTTGTGGTGAGGACTTCCAGTTACTGGGTGACGACACTAGCGGAGTATAGCCATATTGATACGAGACTAGCTAGTTTTAAAGTGGTATCAAGTCCTATTGCATCAAGCTAGAGTCGTTTCATTGTGTCTTGGCCGAATGGTCTCCTTTATGAGCTGTTTATCGCTTATTTACATTATTTTATGTCGTTTGGTTAATTCCAAAATTTGAGTTTGGTTGTCTTAGTCAATTAGTTAATAAAAGGGCTCAAGGTCGTGTTGACCATAGTTAGTAGCCCAATTGGAGTTAATTCATAGAGTTAATTAGAGTTAGGGTTAAGTTTCTTACTTCTTAGTTGGATTAGGAGTTGGTCTTGTAAAAGGCTATAAAAAGCCTTTGCTTTAACGTTTTGAGGGGTCATTGAATAAAAATTGAGATAATTTTCCAGATTTCTTTCGTGAGTGAAAGAGCTCTTCTTGGCTTGTGAAGCCACCATTGAACATCTTAGAGCTGCCCTAAGGTGATTCGTCAACTTATCAATCAAGTAGTCACCTTGATTGTGGCGTTGTCCTACCCGTTCTAGTCTTTCTTGTACGGTCCAAGATAGATTACGAACTCCATTACCGCACGTTGATTCCTAACCTAGATCCGGGCTTGTGGTTCACGTTCTTGATTCGTCTTGACG